CCCTCTTGTCTTCATCCCTCTTGTCTTCATCCCTCTTGTCTCCACCCCTCTTGTCTTCATCCCTCTTGTCTCCATCCCTCTTGTCTTCATCCTTCTTATTTTCATCCTTCTTGCCGCCAAAACCTGTCAGGATCTGTCCGCTCTTGCGCCTCGCAGCCTTCGCCCAGTCTTTACTTTTCATCTTCAGTGCTTCTGTGAAGCCGATCTTCTCCTCGCTAGGATCCTCGTTGGCAGCACCCGGCTCATCCTCGGGATAGTCGGGCAGGTTGAAGACGTTTTCCTTGGTATTTGCCGCGCCTGCTGTTCGAGGCTCTGGTTTCTTAGGAGGATCGGGGTTCTTGGACGGTTCTGACATAATGTAAAACGATGGTTGCAAGCGATGGTGTGTGTGAGGTGAAGTGGAACGTGAACTATGTGACGACCGAAAAAGGTTTGATATTCGCACGCCGTTTGCTCAAGATCTTAAGATTAGTAGGCTACAGTCAGAGGTGAATGCAAGTGTGACCTCGTCACTAGACCAAAACATCACTCACAATTACTCAGCAAAGTCCAACAACCCCTGCGCGTTCTCCTCCGCAATAATCCCTTCTTCTACCATCTGTCCCAGCACAGCCGCAACGTCATTACTTCTGCCCTTCCAGTTTACTTTTCTAGCACTCGACCCACTAGATACCTCCTTCAAGATCTCCGCCACGATCGCCTTAGCATCAGCTGTGGCCCTTGTCTGCGCTACCCCAGCGTTTTGCGCATAGCTTCTCGCACCACGGTAAAACACGCCCGCATTTGCCACGATAACCGCTTTGCTGATCGCCCAAGCCGATTTCACACCGGGTATGGTTGCGATGCGGAAGCGGAAGAGTTCGGTATCGCCGCGGGCGAGGAAGGTGTCCGCAAGACGGGACGCGGAGAGCAGGGAAGAGTGTGGTGCGGAGGAAAGTTCGGTCAGCGTCTTTTGAGCTTGCGAGAGCGCTGTCCACTGAATCTCCAGATCTCCGGCGAAGGAAGGTGATGTTGGGTCGTACTGTAGGCTGTCCGATATCGAGGATGCGAGGTCGATGAGCGCGTCTGCGTACGAAGAGCGGATATTGACATATGCAAGGCCTGAGCTGCTGGTGCCTTGAGCCTCTTTTATCAAGGTGGCGAAGGCCTGCTCGACTTGTTGTGCGTATTGACTTGGTGAACTTCTGCCACTCCGGTACATAGCCTCTGCAATGCTGGCCTGGAAGTTCGCCGCCGCGAGCACTGCATCTTCCTTAGGTGATGTTGAGTTTTCGTCGGTCGCAGTGGATTGACCGATTGATAACGTTAGGCCCGCTTCTGGTTCATCCTCCGAGTCTGAATCTGGCGAAGCGTCGATGATACTTATGAGAGCGGGAATGGTCTCGGTCGCGGTCAGGAGACCGCCTTGTGCTTTCTTCTCAATGCTTGGCAGATCCTCGGGGGTGTACAGCCCAATCAAAGTGATGAGAGCACCTAGTTGTGCTGTGCATGTCTCCAGTATAGTGATCGGCGTAACCGGCTCCTCGACTGTGGCCCAGTCTCCAGGTCCTTCTGACGCTGAGTCGGTGTTCGCATCGTCTTGCTCCTTCGCTTCAGCAGGTTGCGGTCGATCGCCCTGCCAAGCTTCCTGGTACTCTCCCGACGCTTGAGCCTTTGCGATCTCTGTTTGTATTTGCTCATACTCTTGCTGCTGCTTCTGCAAACATCCAGTGAAGATGTCTACAGCATCTTCAAGCAGATTCCTCGCTGGCGTTCTAGCGGCCTCTTGCGTCCCTTCTTCTAGTCCGGCTTCCGCTAACGAAGTAAGGACCTGTGCAGTATTGAATAATATGTCGGTATTAGAAGGGTTCAGTGAAATGGCGTGGCGATGCGAGTTCAACGTCTCTTCCAATAATGCAGTTCTGCTGCCCAGGTGCGGCAGTATCCGCTCATCCTCTGTCAGATTATACTCCAGGTTTGCCCTTCAACGAGTCAGCACCAAAGCCGATTCCAAAAGAGGTGGCTTGCATGATTGCTCACTTGTTGTACGCAAGATCGAAAGACTGTGGATGCTTCTTCAAGCCTTGATTGTAAGTGTCGATGGCGCGGTTGAAGAAACGCGTCGCTTTCACCGCGTCTCCAGCTCTCCATTTTCCTGCCGCCTGCTCGTGCTCATCTGCAGCTTCCAAAAACTCATTCTCAGTTTGCGGCTCCGGCGCTTTGAGCTTGCCTTTCGGCTTTGGCTTCAGAAAGTCCTTCCTCTTTGGTCCCATGGCGACTGTGGTTTTGTGCGTATGAGAGCTTCGAGACTGATTTGATGAGTTGCGGATAAAGTATCATACAACAAATTGTTCCACTTAATTCGCGTACTTAAGAACCTTGGTTGAAGTCTCAAGGGTTCGTCCAGAACTTTTTGAGGGTTGTGACGTAGCCCCACTTCCTTTCCGCTCTTTTGCCCCGCTCTACTCGCCTTGCATCCTCAGCTCACCTTCTTGACATCAAACTCGTCCCAAAGCGCTTTCTTATCAATCAGGTATCCACGTGCATCAAACAACACGCCCTCGTCTTCGAGCAGCTTCCGTTTCGACTCTTGGTTCTGCCCACTCGGCACCTTCTCCCAATCACCCTTAAACCCGCCGATAAACTGTCATGTAGTAGTCAGCGAACGGTCTTGACGCATTCTAAATGGGCAGAGAATATGACAGCTTACTCCAGTACTAGCAATACACCGATGACATGGTATATCTGGCGCAAAAGGGTTGTTCCTCAGCGCGCCACCAATCGCGCGCGGTGAGCTGTTCAGCGCTGTCGACATCGCTGCGTATGTTGTGATGCGGCCTTCAGGGATTTGTTGGAGGAGCGCGTAGACGCGTTCTTGGTACTCTGTGACTTTGCGTGCTTTCGACATTGTGCTTCTGCTGTGTACCGGTAGTGGATGCGAGAGGGGAGACGCGGTTTAACGTGCTGAATTAACGCGGCGGCGCGCGGTCACGGGGCATGCTTTGGAATTGACCTCTCAGTGTACACCTCGGTGACGAGTCAACCCCATATCTCAACATGTCAGACATACTTTCGGTTGAAGATATTCTTGCGAGGGCAAGCTCACGACTGTCTGGAGTTTGGTGCTTTGCAAAATTAGCCTCCTTGAAGGATGAGCATGGACAGCGTGTAAAAGGAGTAAGCAGAAACCTAGGCTTGATAACCAGAACAGATAGCGTTATTAGCTCCCAAGGACGAATCACTTAATTTTTTTGCATGGAACCGCAAATGTCCATCCAAAACAGCCACATTTCCCATCTTGTTTCTTCACATTCGAATTCTCTGCCTAAGCCTTCTGCCTCAGACTAGGCGGCCAAAAGCATAACCCCCCACAATCCGCCCCGCCCGTCTTAGGACTACACCCATCCCTTGGGTCATCCAAGCACACCTGTCCAGGCGTCAAGCACCTGAACCCTGCAAAGCCTCCGCACAGCCTTTCCTCTACACAAATACCTGTGCGATCGCATTCGAGGCCGCAGGGCTGGTTCACGTACGGATCGTTGACACACGTGTAGCCTGTAGGGCAGGCTTGGTTCTGATTTCCGCGGCCGCCGCCGCATATTTGGACTCTGTGGAGGCCTTCGGTAGGTGTTGGGGTGGGGTATATGGTTGTGGTTATGGTGCGGGTGATGGTTTTGATGGTTGTGGGTATGATCGGACTGCTGCAAGTCTAAGGGGGTTAGTTGACATACAGCGTTGATGTGTATAACTGAAGCTCACCTGGTAAGTGGGAATTGCACCACCGCATCTCAGATAACGAGCATATTTGTTTGCGTTGGCGCAAAAGCAGCTCTGAGGCCACTGCTGGATGCAAAAGCGCTCTTCAAAATCACATGCCTTATTTCCTATAGCTCCGACAGTGCCCAAACTGATCTTGGGGATAGTCACGGGAATGGTCGCCGTAGAGCTCTGGGGTTCAGGTGCAGCAGCCCGCTTTACCGGGCCGTCGACGTACGAATCACCCCCAAACGAGTTCTTGGGAGGGCAGGTATTGATACCCGGAGACTTGCCTCCACACTTGTCGTAGCAGTCCTTTGCAATGTTCCATGCACAGTGGCACGAGTCCGGGTAACTCTGAATGCACATCGTCTGTTCGCATTTGCATCCTGGAACCTTGGGTAGATCGGGAAGACGCAGGACGTGCGGAGCTGGCTTCGGTCGCAGAATTGACTTTGGTACAGGAGGTATTGACAAAGCTGGGCAAGTGTTGATGCCCGGCGACACGCCGCCACACTTGTTATAGCAGTCTTTCTTGACGTTCCATTGACAGTGACATCCTTCCGGAAAGCTCATAATGCACATCGTCTCTTCGCATTCGCACCCGGGGACAAGAGGGAGGTCAGGGAAGGGTAAGACAAGCGGAGAGGGAAGTGGCACGGGCAAAGCCGGAACGGGAATACCCAGAATTGGATCGGTAGGTAAGGGCAGTTCTACAGATGGTGTAGGCGTAGTCGGCGTGGGTGCTGGCCCGGTTGTCTCCTGCTGAGGGAGAGTGCATTTCTGCGGCATCATCAGTGCCTGCCTCAAATGCTGATCGCATATAACCAACCCTCCACTTTGTCGAGACGTAATTCGGACATTTCTTCTTGCATGCCAGCTCCGCTTTGTTGATACAGCGGCAGCTCTCCTGCGTTTACTGTCAATTGTGTCACTACTTGGATGAAGTTTAGAGAGCTTACGAAGGCATTGGTGGCGCGACACTTTACCTGAGGACATTGACAGTCATCTTCTGCGAGTGACTGAGCGATTGCCAGCGAGCTCAACAAAGCAAGGATAAGATAGAGGACCTTCATCGTGGTGGCAGGGTTGGCTTTACCGATTGGCGGAAATGGATAGAAATCAGCCACGCGAAGAGGTGGAAGCTAATGTTCCACGCGGCTTGCTCCCATGTTTGACGCTGCGAAGGGTCCTACTTATGCTGCCCCAACTCCCAGCCATGCATTGCCCTGACATCATAGTCAAGCACCACGCAGGTTCTTGTTTGTGTCGCCAAGGTCCTTGAGGTAGCTCGTATGAATGTCCGGCAAGCCAAAAGGTAGCTTACCAAGCCAATTGATGTCCTATAGCAGAGGCCATTAGCTTTCGAATTCCCGCAAGCGGCAACATGCGGAGGTCACATTCCACGGCTCAAGAAACTTCGGCTGGCAGATGACTCGTTTGTAGGACAGGTAGGAGCGAGAAATGCGCAAGTTGGGTTGTCAAGGGAGATGACAATCGACTGGCAGCCTAAGTGTAGTTGAAGATAAGCTTTTGAGGTACACGGCTAGCACCCTCTTTGCGGGGTACAGTAGGCGCAATTGCTGTCCAGAACGAGCAACTGGTTTTCTTCTTTGAAATCGCGCCTTGAGTTTGTGACCTAGTGCATGTATCGAGCCTGCCAGTCCTTTGCGGCTGAGCTGTGTGACGGCCACAAACTATGCGTGAACTGATTTACCAGGTAATGGAAGAAACGGGCCGATTGAAGCATCACCTGTGCCAATATCGATTGCTCCTTGCAGCGATGCAGAGGCGTGAAAGTTGTACGCATGGACAAGGGAGACGTGTTGAGATCACATCCCAAACCACGTTGCCGAGGAATGTCATCACTAGCGCAACCAGTTGTCTGTTCCATTGGCAATTTCCATTTGCGGCTGCCAGCCTTGCGAAACAAAGAGATAGGTGATTGAGAAGTGGAGTAGATGTTTTCAGGATTAAGGATTGGGTTAGTTCGGGTCAATGAACGCCGTATGTATGCCGCTCAACAAATGCAACGCCGTATATTCCTAGCCGAGGGGTATGTACCATTCCAATGCGATCAAAATGTCGTTCCAGCATGATTGAGGTGATGTCGATCATCGATCTCGGTCCACATCTTCCGGTGGAGGCCGTCGTTGAAGACCAGCGGTACTCCTGACCGCGTCGAAACCCCGCCAAATAACCGTAGAGACGGTGGAGCTTAAGTCGCGTACCGAGGTGCTCAGATCAGAAACTCTACTTCCGGGGATGTCTCGTGCATTTGACTGACGTTCTTCACCGGACCAGTTCGCTTCGACATCACCGTCAGACTCAGTACGGTGACTGCTGGGCACAGACGCCGATATGGGCAAAGGTCGTGAGGCTGAAGGGGAGTCGTTGCGAGTCTCAGCAGCCTGGATCTGCAAGGCGTCCACGACGTGTTCATCATCAGCAGGCCAAGGTGCTGGGGGTGAGGCGCTAGGACGGTCCAAGTACGCTTGTGAGAGTGACCTTACAACATCGCCCTTGCAAATCGGGCATGTGCGTCTGCGAGTGACGAGCCAAGGTGTGCTACACACTGTTAATATGGCAGTGAACCGGGTAAGGCAAGATACATACATGCAGTCCACATGAAATTCGTGGCCACACGGAAGGCTCATGACTTGGCTCAGACCGTCCACGTATTCTTCAAGGCAGACTACGCATTCTCTTTGTCGCCCACCATAACGACGCCTCCATTCAGCTAGGCCAGACTCGCGCTTCTCTTCTTCTCGGTCACGGGCTGTGCGTTGAACAGAGGAAGATGTCGCCGGTGCTTCAAGCTCGTCTTGTGAAGCCGAGGGCGATGTTGGTATCGTCGGTTGTGACGGAGTCCTTTGGAGCAAAGGTGTAGTGGGGGTCGCTGCCTCTGATGTAGCAGATGGTGACGAGGACGAGTCGCTGATCGTGTGGTAGGTTCGAACCGGAAGGCGCTCAACAACAGACTTGGGTGCTCTCCAGCGTCGGCGTCTTATGCGAGATCGAAGGAGCAGTAGGGCATAGACAACAGAGAGTGTGACAAGTGGACTAACAACAAGGACCAGTAGGGTGTCGAAGAAGGGACTTGATGACACATTCGTGGATGTGAGTGTCACCCAGAGACCTTCGTGAGGTTGCGTCTCGCCCGGAAGGTTGTCGATGTCCTGACTGTTGGTGCTGGTGATAGATGTGACACTCCTGCGGCTAGACCCCAACCAGGAGCGCCAGCTCGCCTTGTATTCGCTGTTGGGCGCTGTGTACTTTGTCTCAACTCTATGACGGCTGTGGCCGAATGTAGACGGGGAAGGCGTGGGAGTGGGTGTGACCAAAGAGGGAAGGGTAGTTGTAGGCAGGTTACGGAACTTGGGATCTCGCCAGTCGTCCTCGCCGATCCTAAAATTGTCCGTTGGCTGTTTTTTTGCACTGACGAGACCAAGCGTGGCCAGCAGCGGTTGTAGCCAATCATGCTCCGTAGGCTTGTCCTCCATGAATGCAAGAGGTCTATCACGAGTCTCAATCGAGGGCGTAGAGATAGCCTGTGGTGTAACTCCAGACGGCGTGGGCCTGTTCTTCTCCTGTGAAGGGACGGTGCCGGCCAAGGTCTTGCCGGACGGCAGGAGAGATGACAGCAAGTGCGCAGTAGTGTGCGAGGTGAAGACTGATGGGATGGTGACGTTGGATGTGTCGCCCCTAGCGTACATCCTAATCAGAGCTCCACCGCGCACATTGTCGCCCACAACGACAGCAACAGCTCCACGCCTTTGTGCCCATTCCACCTTGGCCAGGAAGCCACAACCTCCTCGCTGGAGCAAAACAACCTTTCCTGCAATCTCGGCGCTTTCTTGAAGTGACTGGATATCGGCGTGATCTGAGGAGTGGCGCGTGCCCTGCTCAAGAGCTGGATGTAGGTGGTCGTCGGTGCCATCGTCTGAGGGCAGCGCTTCGTCTTCTGCCGTGGACGCAGCTCTCCTTGGCTTGTCCTTCTTCTCAGCTAAAGGCCCAGTCGTTCTGCTCTTGACAGTGGGGGCTGTCTTCAGCACGCGCGGAAACACGTCACTGCCGCCATCCCAACCAGGGATGTCACTGCAGCCAAGCTCGCCGCCTCGGCTCAGCGCATCGTCGCCAAAGCCACTGCCAATCCACAGAGGGCCGCTCAATCCATCACTAGGCAGCGCTGACCCAAAGTCGGCAGGTCGGGCGAGGAAGAAGGTCGAATTATCGTCGGTGAGGCTGATGATGGCGGACGGAGGGAAGAGCGAGCCGGGAGATGTAAAGGAGAAGAGGGCGCTGACGCTGGACTGCTTCGGCGCATGCGACACTCCCTCGAGCTTTTGGTCTTGCTGCCCACCCAGAGTGACATAGAGGAGCAGAGTGACGGCGAGCAAGCTCGTGGTCAGCGAGAGGAGGAGCCACAGCGGGCGGGGCATGCTGGCGACGTGTGGCAAGACGTGGGGGAAGATGTGGAGGGAGTTTCGGTGCAGAGCAGCAAGGTATGCTGGGCTCTGTGGTCGTTCACAACATCCGGCGTTGTCTGCAGAGGCGCTGTCTCAAGCGGCTCGTGATAGCGGTGTATGATGACGACGAAGCTTGCGACGCGGGGAAGGCACGGATTCGCTCGTTCAGGTGGGATGGGGTGACCGCACAGCAACGCGACAACAAGTACCAAAAGCGCGCGTTTACGAAGTATTTCGCAAGATAGCAGACAGGAATATTACCGCTATGCAAGGACGTGCGTGAAAGACTAGCTAACAGCCGGCCAAGCAAACAACGGCCTGTTGTGCAAGCTTCGCGCCTTGATGACTTCCGCGTTCTCCAGCAAGGATAACGCGGAAGTCGTCATGGGTCCGCCACGAGAGCCAAGCGAATGCTGTCCCATTTCAGCCTGCCCAGGGCGCTCGCTTTGTGTCCGTTATCTTACAAGGCTCTTGTCTTCATCTCGTCAACTCGCAGGTGAAACGTGGACGCAAACAAACTTCTGGGCCGCTGAAAGCGTGCTGAGCTTTGTCACAACGTCACCGCGTCGAGGGATCAACAGGCTGTTCACATTTGGACACTCTGCGCCCATGCAGCGACAAGACATTATACCAGCTTTCGCACATGTCGCAGAATCAGCTGCGCAATTAAAAGTATCATCCAAGGTCGCAGTAATCAAGAATCGCTTGTGAGGACCTACAACGACACGTAGGTGAAGCTCGAGATGGACCTTCTTGGAAGACCTGCTACATGTGTGACGTGCCGTCGCAGCTGCCAAAAAATGATCACCACCCGTGCACCGCAGCGTGTTCGATCTGGACGTGGCTTCCACATGTACCAGCGCTATCGTAAGATTGTTTGACGGCGTGGCTCTTCTCCCCTCTTCAACCCTCACCACGTCTCCACAACTCGACCCATCTCCTACATTCCCCTCAGCTTTGCCCAGTATCCTGGTATTTCTACCTTTGTCCCTAGTCTTAACCACACCTCGAATCTTGCCTAGGTCTCCTCCCCGTTGCGCATCGCCTGTCTTACCTCACGAGCGGTTCCTGTTCCATACGCTTTCAGCACCACCTTTGCATCACTCTTAGTATCTACCGACAGAGCTGCAGTTATGAACAACGCACAACGACATCCACTGACCGGCAGAGAGCTTCGACATCTTTTCAGAGATGAAGCCGACATACACAGAAGACCCAAACCGTCCGGGAGAGAAGCGGGCTCTTGGATGGCTGCCAAACAGGACACGCCATCTGCTCATTGCCTTCCTGGGCGAGTTCATTGGCACATTCTTGTTCCTCTTCTTTGCATTCGCAGCGACACAGACGGCCAACAATCTTCTCGGTAACCGGCCAATGGACATCCAGTCCTTGCAGTACATCTCATTGGCCTTTGGATTCTCCCTCGCGGTCAATGTTTGGGTCTTCTTTCGCGTCAGTGGAGGACTCTTCAACCCAGCTGTGAGTCGCTCAGTCCAGTCTTCTCCCCATCTTCTCCTTCAAGCTATCTGTGGCCACCTCATGATTGTCGCTTCGCCCAGAGCTAACGAGGTCCTGTAGGTCACTGTTGCGATGGCTCTCATCGGCGCTGTGCCTTTCGTCAAGGCCGCACTCCTCATTCTTGCACAGCTACTGGGTGCAGTGGCTGCCGCTGGAGTCGTTTCAGCAACCTTCCCGGGCCCTGTGGCTGTCCGCACTAGGCTCGGTGCTGGTACCTCGATCAGCCGTGGTGTCTTCATCGAGATGTTCTTGACTGCCATGCTTATCTTCTGCATCTTCATGCTGGCCGCAGAGAAGCACCGATCTACCTTCGTTGCCCCTATCGGCATCGGTCTGGCTCTGTTCGTCGCTGAGTTGGCTGGTAAACAACCTTGTTCATCTTCTTTACGTTGCTCGGTACTGACGTCTGCAGGTGTCCTCTACACTGGTGGATCTCTCAACCCAGCACGTTCCTTCGGACCTGATGTTGTCACAAAGCGCTTCGATGGCTACCATTGGATCTATTGGGTAGGCCCACTTCTCGGTGCTCTGCTTGCCGTGGGTCTATATCGTCTACTCAAGATGCTTGAGTATGAGACTGCCAATCCCGACGCAGATGGCGATGGCCGCCGCGAGGTCTACTACGAGACCGGGGGCTCCTCAAGCCAATACGACAACCGTGTGCCCACGAGTACGTCTGATCGCCACCTCACCTTCAGAACAGCACTGACATCTTAGCGCGTGGCCATGGCGCAACCGACGGAACCACTGACGACATGGATTTTGCCTCGCGCATCCGTACTGCGAAACATGGATCGCACCACAACGTTGCCCTCGGTAACAACAAGCAGAGTGAATCTGGGGCGATGTCTGAACCTAAGCCTGTCTTCCACTCTGGTCATGATGGCCATCATTCGCAAGTTATGTCCGACCGCAGCTACCGTAGCGGCCCAACTGTCGAGTCTGGCTCATCGTAGTCTGGCAGTACCAACTCTTTTCGTTCTTCGGTCACATCCAGGTCGACATCTTCATCGAGCACAGAGAGCAGTGATGGCCACAAGAATGAGAAGCCGCGACAGAAACGCGGGCCCCTGGACGGGCACATATACTACCCGTGCTGTTGGCTCCCTGGGTTTGTACTGAGGGCTATTTTTTGTCCTGGCTAGATTGTGTATCAACAGAGACTGGCACGCGGCCTATGCACGAAGTGATGGAGTCGGGCTGCGTCGAAGAACACGGTATTGGACTTTATTACGTAGATACTGCTCCTCAGACAAATTCATCCCGTTGTCAATCCATTCTGTTCGACTAGTCCCATGTTGCTTTGGCTTTACCGTTGCCCAGATGAAGATTTGCCTCACTTGATATGAAGGTTCGTTCTCCATCATACTCCGACCCGAGTCGCAAACGTGTCCAAGTCCCGTTGATCTCTCTGTTACGGGCTGAATTATGAAGGCTAGGTAACGGCGTTGGACCTATTGATACAGAATAATCTGAACTTGCTGGCCTATTGATGGGGTATTCGACTCGAGTCTCATGTTTGACTTCGTTGTTCTCAGTGGCGTTTGGCGAATAGCAGTAACTACCGATAGTAGACGTCAATGAGGGTCTGTCAGGATTTGATTTGTGGGACGTATCGCGGATGTCCTTCAAAGCTTCATGGTACGTCATGACCCCCGGGTCGCTGATCGTGTCGCTTCCACTCGACTGCGGTGGTGAACGCTCTGGGCGTCGAGGAGGTGTGCGCGCTGAAGACGGGGAATATGAAGTGATGAGTGGGGGCGCAGTGCTTGTGGGGCGTATTACACGGATGCTGTTCTTCAGTTTCGCGAGCTCGATGTTCTCTCTGGATGGCGTGATGGCTTTGGGTTTTCTGTTGTAGAGAATTATGAGCACAAGGAGGTTCAGTGTTACGAGTGTTGCGCTGATGGCGATGGGGATCGGGCGGATTGGGTCTGGCGAGGGGCGGAGCGCTTCTGGTGACAGGAGCCGTATCATATGGACATCATCGTGGTCGTAAGAAGATGCTGATGCCATAGCTTGAAGCAAGACTTAAGTCTTATCATCGAGACGGTGGTAGCGAGGCCGGAAATTCAAGTCTAGTCTATCTCACGACTGTGAATCTAGCGCGTTTGCACTCTTCACGGATCTGCGCCCTTCTTTCCTCGTCTCCTAGCTTCAGCGGCATCGTACGTCCTTCCTGTCGACTCGCCCGCATTACCGTTCGCATATGCATCCCTCTCCCCGTGTCTGAGCTCATCCATCGATATCGGCGGCGGAGCTCTCCTCTTCTTCGGATCCGGATTGCTCATCTTTCGCATCTCCATCTCCAATCTCGCGGAAAGTCTTCGCAGCAGCCACTGCGCCTCACTCGAATTCCCCATCAGCGGACTTCGGATACCCAGCCAGCTCCACGCTTGCTCGTCGCCGTCGTCCGCTGTGCCGAGATCTGGCGTTGAGCGATTACCGTGCTTGTGGTGGACCCGTGCGCGGCGATGGCCTGATGCCTCGTTCTCGTCTTGGCCGAGGAGGCGCAGGTAGTATGCCCACTCTGAGTAGCTGTACTGCCGTGGAGGCGATGCATCAACATCTTTCATCAGTTGCCGGATCTCCTTTGACAGGACGAAGTGGTAAAAGTGGATGTCTCGCATTAGCTTGTCTCCGTGCTCGCCTGCTTCTTCTGCGAGGCCGAGTTCTTTTTCCTCCATGTGGTCTCGTAGACGATCCATCATGTGCCGTAGTGAAGCGCCTGGGTCCGCGTCTTGGGACTCTGCTTTGTAGACTTTACGCATTCGCTTCGCGCCGATCTTAAGTGTTGATCCGAGGCCTTCTTCGTCCGGTAAGAGTGTTAGAGAACCGACCCAGATGGTGAAGTCTTTGAATTCTTTAATAATGGTGTCGCCCATGTTGCTGATCAAGATGGTGAGTGTTGGCACGGCCAGCAGGCTCCAGAACACAAAGAAAGCTTTCCCGGCGTTCGATTGCGGCACAAGGTCGCCGTATCCGATCGTGAGCAGCGAAGTATATGCGAAGTACATGCTCCCGAAGTAGGACCATCCCTGAGGCTTCTCAGCTAACCTGAAGACCAGAGCACCAAGAAACCACAATAGCAATGCCGCCGTCGTAGAGATCGCAAGCGAGGTATATCGTCGGTTCCGTTCTGCTACATCTTGGATCTTTCGCATGACGCGAAACTCTTGTTCTCGCTTCTGGGCTTCAGATAGATCCCTCTGAAGATATTCCATACTGGAGAACCAGCCAAGTTTGATCGTCCTTGTCTTGTCATTGTACGAAGCCAAGACCTCTACTCTCTTGATCTCGGTGAATCGAGCAGCCATCTTCTGCTTTCCGTGTTCGAGAATAAGGGAACGTATGGAGCCGATGACCAGACCGACTGTGACGAGTCCACCAATAGCATACGGGAACAGCAATGAGCGACCGGTGTGGGTTATGGGAACGAATTCACCCCCAATACCGACGGTGAGCAGAGTAAAATCTGCGTAGAAGACGCCGTCGAGAAAATTCCAGCCTTCGACTTCTGCAAAGATGAGGGCGCCTAACAGAAGGTAGAACATAAAACCAATGGTCTGCAGCATCAGCGTTCTCTGGCTAGGAGATAGCCTGAACTCCTTCGGGTAACGGCCTTTATATGCACCGTAGATTGTGAACACCATTAGTGTTGCGATGATAAAGTAGAGTCCGGAGGCGATCATGCCATAGTAGTAGGCCTGGCTCAGGGCATGCTCTTCCCTAGGCTCCAGGCGAAAGGCAGACGAAGACGCTACCCCAACAAGGGCCATAAGGAGCAGGGATGCTACGTAGAATCCCACTACGGTGATCGGCTGTGCCACTGCAAAGGATACCCGCCGGGCCATGTTGAGTAGGAGGAACATGTTGGCCGCAAGAGCAAAGACGAGTGATACGGAGTTAATGGCAACCAACCACTTTGGGTCTTCGACCACAACACCGTGGCTCTCGTCCTTCCCAGCTGGAATATACACTCTCCACTTGTTTGGCAGCGCGCAGATACTGAAGGCGTTGGCCATGGGACCAAAGGTGCCTGCTATAAGGGGACATGCTGTGGAAGCAAACCACCATCGACTACAGAGATCAGTGGATTAGAAGGGTCTATCGCTGGGAAGCTTGCATACCCTGGTTTCAAGAATTCTTGCTCTTCCTCTTCGGCCTGCTCCTTATCTTGGACATACTGAGTGTTGTTCGCTTCAACATCTTCGGCGGCCTGTGTTGCAGACTTGTCAAGGCCCGGATCGTTCATGCTGTGTATGTCTTGAGAGCTTCAACTTCAAGGAACAGCGGGGCATGTCGATACCAGGGGCGTACGAGACAGCAACTGCCAAGGTGATATTCATGGTCAAATGCAAGACAACCAAGCTGCGTCGTGCCGCGTGGTCGAAATGACCAATGACGTAGCTGCGCTAGCAGCGGCAGTCTCGACCTCCACGGAGCATCTGCAGGATTTGATGCTTTCGGAGGATATCTTGACCGCTCTTGACATGTCAGACCCTGGTTTCCGATGTTTTGGTCATGTGGAGTAGGAGCAGTGGAGCAAAAGCTTATGACGATGAAATTCGGCACGTGCGCACGCGTTTTCGTGAACACCCTCACAAAACTCTCCGTGACTTTGACCTTCACCACGCGATGGACGAACGAAGTGGCACAACGAACACCATACGATCGCGAACCACCTTTGACATCTACAGGAACCTAGATGTCGTTGTTTGGTGGTGACAGTAGCGCACCGCCAACCGAATCCGAGTACGAATCAGAACCAGATAGTCAGTTCTCTCCGACCGAACAGACGCCTCTGCAAAGCCCTCCAAGCGCACGAACACATCATGCTGGGCTTGAGCCGGTGGCAGAAGATGTCGACCAGGATGTAGCAGGCAATGACGCAGATAGCGAAGAGTTCGAGGATGAAGAACCGGAACGACCCAACCGCTTCAGAGGGCCGCCGCAGACGTGGAAAGGCTATACTGCAGCCGATCGCCAGATCGCTGAGTCACTTCAACAACTCGAGGATACCGACCTCTCTGCCCATCTCTACAATGCGCACGCTCTGAAGCGCCGTGTGCGCAAACCCGCGCCAGAGCTCTCAATGCTGAGAAATTGGCAGACCAAGGACACATGGCTGAAACAGGGAAAGGAGCTACAATATACAGACGCTGCGGGGCAGCTGCAAGTAGAGTTAGTCCCCGCAAAGGACTGGACGGCCTGGCCAGTTCCTCCGGCCTCGCTCTACACTCTTGCGGATGGGCTCAGAAGAGGCGCAGTAGCCCCAGAGAAAGGGGAGTGGGTTATTGGCGGCAATGCAGCGCAAGATCCAGGTGAAGAGATGAAGGATGAGGTGCTAGGGCTATTTCTGCGGCTGGCGAAGAACAACTGGGATGCAAAGAAATGGCAAGATGATGGCGAACAAGACACAACACAGAGGGCGCGTTTGAGATCGAGATCTCAGTCGCGGAGCGTGCACACTGACGTTGAGATGAAGAATACTGGTGGGAATGAGCTTCAGCGTGACAATGACAATGCAGCTCAAGAGGGCGGAAAGAAGCGCGGAAGAAAACCTCAAGTCAAGCTGGACATCAAGCCAGCCGTTCTTGCTGATGACGCCAAAGCACAAAGACTGCTGCGACCCACAATCGCCTCTTTGCTCAGCAAACTCGACGACGTTGCATTAGCTCTACAGCGAACACGCCTCAACCACTTCGGTCGCGGTGGATTAGGGGAGGGTTCGTCCCAGAGTGAGCTCACTACAGACGCAGAGACCACGGAGCCAGAGATTCATTCCAGACCTCTGTCCCGAGCAAAGAGAGTATCTCGGACTCGGCCAGTGACACGACAATCGTCACGTCCATCTTCCAGTCGCGCCAGTCGCGCGCCAAAGTCGCCAAAGAAGCCCAGCAGACCCGCAGTGGAGCCTGGCAGCGACTCCGCCTCTGACTACGGGGCACAGTTCGGTGAAGACGGCGCTCTGGATCCAGAAACGTCCCGTGGTAGCCCGAAACGTCGAAAACGGAGCAGATCGGGAAGCACAGCGGACGGCGAAGAATCATCGAATACACGGGATTGGTCAAGAGCAGGACTCATGGACTGGAGCGAGGTCCTTGGTATCGCGGCTGTGAAAGGCTGGGACCAGAATGCACTCGCTCGTACAGCACAACGCTGCTCAGTCTTGTTCGGGGAGAGTATGTCTTTCAGGCCTTTCGCAGAGGACCTTGCTGCGAAACCTCTCGCCAGTCCAGTGCAGTACGCTCCATCACCCATTCCACCGCCAAGCAGTCTGCCATTCATTGTCTCTCGCTCGGAGAAGCGCCCGTACTTCCAGGCCGGCGCAATACGCTGTCCCCATCCTGATTGCTATGGGCATCACAAGGACTTTACGGTGGCATACCGCGTCATTGAGCATTGCATGAGACTCCACGGTTACGATCCTCGAACAAACGATTCAGACAATGAAGAGAGGACGCACGGCGGAGTTCACATGGACGGGTTTCTGCAGCCCATCACGGCGAAGCAAGGCTGGCTGGGACATGGACGGTCGAAAGCGCGCGGGAAGAAGAGGAAGACTGAGGAAGACTGGCCCGGTGACCCCGCTGCTCTGCTAGAGACGGAGGAGTTGATTTCCCAATGACATGCCTGCTATGGTTGTAGCGGTATCGAACCGGTGCTGAACTCTTATCGTACATCTTGTATCTGGGTCCCGAACCTTCCACCCCGCACACGCAGAAGGACATGTATAGAGATCTCAACGATATAAACAAGGACTCAGTGCCAGTCTCCACGCCACTCTTTCCTCGCTTTGCTTGAACACAACAGTAACCTTGGATCGTTCCCGCTGACCACGAGTGTGTTTGAGGTGTGTTGGTTGTGCCTGAGAGGAAGGAGCACTGGAGGCTGTCGAGGCGAGTTTGGAGAATGGCCACGTATATGAATGGTGAGTACTTGTACATGCAAGGCTACTGGTACTGATCATGATGAGTACTTGTACGTGCACGGCTACTGGTACTGATCATGATGAGTACTTGTACATGCAAGGCTACTGGTACTAA